CCAAATAATCTATTAGATATCTTATGAGCAAATAAAAGAAGAGAGCTCCAAGGATCCTAACATAAAGGAATGTCAACAAAAGGGAAATGTTGATTGCCCTGAATCATCAGCACCCATTGTATACAAATATTGAAATGTCAAACTGTAGTCCACAGATCTGTATGTTATCTTTAATAAAAAAAATTTTAAGATAGTTAAACACAGTGTAAGTCTTGTGAGCTACAAATCACCATAGAATATTTGAAATAATTCTTCATTCCCCTAAGGGCAGGCACTGTGACATAATGAATAAAGCCATGACCTGCAATGCCTGCCCTAATGGGCAATGGTTTGGGTCCTGACTGGTCTACTTCTGATCCAGTTCCCTGCTAATATGCCTAGGAAAAACAGTAGAAGATGGCCAAGTGCTTGTGCCCCTGCCACTAATGTGGGAGACCCAGGTGGAGTCCTTGGCTTTGGCCTGGCTCAGCCCGGGCTGTTGCAGGCATCTGGGGAATGAACCAACAAGGGAAGATCTCTCTCTCTCTCTCTCTCTCTCTCTCTCTCTCTCTGTTATTTTGACCTACAAATAAATGAATAAATAAATATTTTTTAAAAAATTCTTTATTCTCTTTACATATTATGATATATCCATGCAAGTATACACTATATTGCATTTAAAACAATGAAATTGCTCTGAAATGAGGCAGTTTCTAGATTTACCAGAACATCCAAGGATCAAAGTGCAGAACAATGTATATCACTGTATTTTTGTTTTCATTCAAACACAAAATATGCATAAATCTATAAATGTCATAATTTTAATAAAACGTGAATATGTTGATGTTTTAACTCAGCAATGTTTACTTTGGAACAAAAGTCTTGCTGAAAGTGATGGTCTATTTGTAAGATTATCCTCTGTATATGTCCTGTGTATATATTGCTTGAATATCTAATTTTGCAAACGTATTATTTATTTTGTTTATTTTATTTTTAAATGTCAATTGGTATTATCTAGACAGTGAAAGTTTGGGACCAACTGTTTTACCACTACATTTGTCTGTGTTTAAAATTATGTAAAAATGAGGTTTTACTGTAAAAAAAGGAAAAAAAGAAATTACGTGGCATCAGATTTTATTTTGCCATTATTCTGCTTATTACTTATAATTTAATTTTTTAAGTTAAACACTTTTTTTTTAAGATTTATTTACTTATGTGAGAGGTAGAGTTACAGAGAGAGGGAGAGACAGAGAAAGGTCTTCCACCTGCTGGTTCACTCTGCAAATGGACACAATGGCCAGAGCTGGGCCGATCCAAAGCCAGGAGCAGGAGCTTCTTCCTGGCCTCCCCTGAGGGGTTCAAGCACTCGGGCATCTTCTGCTTTCCCAGGCCACAGCAGAGAGCTCTCCACGCAGCACTGACGCTCTGGGGTTGCCAACCGGAACTGCCGGTGGACGGATTAGCGGCCCTGAGGTTAGAGCAAAGCAGGAAAACTGGCCCCAGACACCTGCGCGAGTCCTTTTGTCATACGCCGTCCTGTCAGACTCGGGCTCAGGAGGAAACCGCCACCTGCAAGCCAGGAAGGCGCGCACCCAGCCGCAGTCACCTCACCGAGACGCCGCCAGCAGCGAGCGTGACCAGTTACTGCGCCTGCGCAGTTCAGGCGCTGAGGGGGGCGGGGCCTCTTTTTTTTTTTTTCCTAAAATATATTAGATTTAGTTTTTATTGTAGAGCACACGCATCAGGGCAAAGTGCTGCACACACAACTACAAATCACTTTTTGGGAAAAAAGCTGTAAAAAAAATAAAACTGCAACTGCTTTAGTTATGCAGTCCTGACTTGAGGAATCCACGCTGGCAAAGGAGCTCTGGCCCCTGAGAGGGGCTTCTTGACGCTGGCTGCCCCGGACCTCTGCAGCCTGAGACCTCGGACCCAGGCCTCTGTGCAGAGCCCCCTTCCCCGAGGGACGGAGTCTCCTGGCAGGACGGCCTCTGCTGCAGCTGGCCTGGGTCCGGCACGGCTGGCAGGAAGACTTCCCTGATGAATTCAGGTCAGCACAGCCTTGCAGCCTTCCAGGGGCTGGGTGGGGAGAAACTGCCAAGGATTTACCCTTTTTCCTTCTATTACTAATTTTTTAAAGCCTCTCCCCCAGCTCCCATGCCCCTGAGGCAGAGGAGGCACCAACCCAGTCTGCAGGCAGAGGGCCGGGCACCTTCCTAGAGGCAAGGACAGGGGGCAAGGCCCAGGCTGGCCAATGTAGGAGAAAGAAAAGGGAAAGGAAAAAGCCAGGAGATCATTGGAAAAAATAACTCGAAGCAGAAGAAAACAAAAACCCTACCACACCACAACAACTTCCCACATCCCAAATGCTCGACTTGGAAGGACACCAGTCCGTCTAGCTAGAAACAGTTCCTAAAACTGACCCGATTTTCTATCAGTCTAGAATTAAGAACACAGTTTGAGAATATCTTAATTTTTTTTTTTTTTTGACAGGCAGAGTTAGACAATGAGAGAGAGAGAGAGAAAGGTCTTCCTTTTTCCATTGGTTCACTTCCAAATGGCCACTATGGCCTGCATGTTGCAGCCAGCGCGCTGCGCTGCGCTGATCTGAAGCCAGGAGCCAGGTGCTTCTCCTGGTCTCCCATGCGGGTGCAGGGGCCCAAGTACTTGGGCCATCCTCCACTGCACTCCCTGGCCACAGCAGAGAGCTGGCCTGGAAGAGGAGCAACCGGGACAGAATCTGGCGCCCCAACCAGGACTAGAATCTAGTGTGCCGGCGCCGCAGGCAGAGGATTAGCCTAGTAAGCCCCCGCGGCACCGGCCCAAAAATATCTTAAAGATCAGAAAAGTTACCAACTAAAGATTGTGAAAATGACAAAAATATCTATTATTATAAAGTCCACTCTATTTATCTGCAAACGTTTAAGAATACTATCAGTTTCAAGGTATCAATCACCAGAGACCTTCGGGGCCATGTGGAGCCATAGAAGGATGTGGCAACTATTCCATCCTGAGGTTTGCAGAGAATTCCCCGGAGGATGAGATAAACAAGTTTCAGGAACCCATCCCTAGATTTCCTGATTGTGTAGGTCAAAGATGAGTTCATGAATCTTGATTTATATTTCTAGCAATTTGCTAGGACATGCTGGTGGTGCAGGAAGCACACTAGGAGAACCACTGGGCTATGAGATTAATCACTTGGTATTTAATTTCATCATTTTATTTTTTGGCATAAACCTATGTGGTCCTGGCTTAAAAACTTAATGTATACCCATTTTTAATGATACTGGATGCAGTTTTATTTTTATTGCTTGAGATACTTTCATAATTACATTATAAAAGCTTATCAAAGTACCTTTGCACGTTGGCTTTCCTATCCATCTGCTGTTAATACATGTTATAACACCAGGCCCATCCAATCTGTAATTTTCTGGACATTTATAACTCACTTGTTCTCCTGATCTATATGACTTCTTTTTCTTGCCTATGGGTATGGCACCGTCAAAGCTGGGTAAATTTACACAATCTGTTTCTGAAAGGAAAAGAATATTTATATGTTCAGAAAATCACAATATACAATAATTATATTCTAAAATATTTGTTAGATACACCTAGAGCCAGCAAATATTGCACAGTCATTTTTGATGATGTGAAATGTGATGTTAGCAGTTTTGACTTAGTTGCATTGAACTGTTCTATTGTTATTAAAAATATAAAAGGGGGATCATACTGGATGTCTGATGAGACAGTGGCAGTTGTACTTGAGAGACTATTTTTGTATTCATTTTACTTTACTTTTTGTTGGCACCCATGTTATGTATTTCTGTTTTTAATTTCTACAAAATGTAATTACTTACATTAATTATTTTAAACAACTTTGGAAATGTACATTTGTAGGGAAGTAGCTTATAAATTCACAGCAGAATGTATAATGATGAGCTTTATGAGTTGGGGTGAGCGACACTCCAAGAACAGAGATGAGAAGTCAGAGAATGTGTGTTACATGAAGCTGAAAGTTCACACAAAATGATGCAAAACTGAAGTTATTAGGCTCATAACATCAAACTCTTTTTTTTTAATCTTACTAGGGCTGTGATTCTTAGAATCTGAAACCTTCAATAGACTCCTTATGATATTCTAGAATTACAGCTTTCTTGTTTATCTAATTTATACTTTGAAAGAAGGGCAATTTTAATACATAGAATACATTAAATATACTATACTTATGCATTCTGGTGGTGGTGACCATTTTCCTCCTAAACATGTTGCAAATGCAGGTCCATCGATTCCAAAACCTTTGGAGCACCTGTATATAACTTCTTCTCCATACTGGTAACTGTTCGACATGTCAGAGGCAACACCATTAGAAATCTCAGGTGGAGAGCCACAAGGAAGTCCTGAAACCAAAAGTTTCACTGACTCAGGAATTGAATTGCAGGCGCTGGATTTAATATTCAGTAGTTTTACTTGAAAAGGTATGATAGCATAGCAGTTACAGTGATATCACCGAGAAAGCATGCTAATACTTCCTAAAGCTGCCATTCTAGTATGTGACTGCCTGTCAAAATGTTAGAGCTTGAGAAAGCATGTAAAATTAAAATTATCAACACACTTAGGAATTAACAAGTATTGCTGTTAACGGAAAAACACATAGAGGATTATAAAGCTATCAAAATCACTGTACACTGCAAGATATCAGAAGGGACATTGTAGGAAGACCATAACATACACTTATTAAATCTAGAGGCAAAGCAAACACTACAACTTGCATGAATAGGAGGCTTATTTTCACAACATACTTTTTTTTAAAAAACAATGAAACAGAATAATAGGTGATTTTTTAATGAATCGATAATATTAAATTAGGATAAGATTATGCAGAAAGCATTTCAGTGGTAAAATATATGAATGACACCATATGTGTAGTGGTTAAATTATTCTAGATCATGACTTTGATAATAGATATGCTTATTGAATTAAACTATAAAAAGAACTTGAAGCTTCACATGGTCCATTCTCACCTACACAGAGAGGTGGAGAACTCCATTTTCCCATGTGGCACGTTATTCCATCTCCTCCCGATATGCTGAAACCATCTTCACAAACATAGCTTAATTTAGTGCCATGTGGGTAAACTCTGCCTTCCCCTTCTTCTGGAAATATAGATGATCTAATTCTTCCATGGTCTACGTCAGGCGGTTTAGAACATGGACTTTTTTCTATATGAAGAAGAGAAATCAAGGATAAAACCCAAATAAGATGTTTAAAATGAAAAACAAAATCAACTAATACTTGGGAGTTTAAAATAAGTGTAATTTGAACAAATAGTCAAAAATTTAAACATTGAAACTTTCAAGGATATATGTGTCATTTTTCTAGTATCAACTTTTTGGTCAATATCCTCCTTCATCTGTGTCCTATTGTGAGGAGTAAAATATGGGTAAACAGATACTTTACACAATATTTACACAATATCCCAAGGATCTAATCTCAGTTTTGCTCACAGGAGTGAAACAATGGTAATTATTTCATATTCTTTGTAATCTTGATGTAAGGTTTCAGGATAAAGTATATGTTTTCATTCTTTTCATTACACAAAGCACTGGGGAGACTTAACAGCATTGGAAGGAATTAACAAAAGAAGTTATAGAGTACTGACCAGCACAGCGTGGTATTGATTGCCACCTTCCATCTTTGCACACAATTTCCTCTGCTCCTTGAATTAGATAATTTTCTTGACAAAGAATAGACATTTTTTCTCCATCCTGATAATTCACTGTGGTTGTCACATTTTGAGAATAGGGAATCTGAGGTGGTGGTGGGCATAGCTGTATTTTTACTTCTAAAAAATATTAAAATTAGATTTCTTGAGTAAAATCATTTTAAAGTATTAAAAAGATAATTGTCAATAAATATAAATATCCATAACTATGATAATATACTATCATAAATTCTCAATATTCTACATATGTATGCTATACTTTTCAGCTTTATGGCAGCTTATCAGCTTAAAAATGACTTTTAATAACAAATAACTACATTTTTATAGAGCCCAAAGATACTATTCTCACAAGTGAGAAAGCAATAAAATAAATTTTGTAAAAAAAGCTTACCTGTGCAAGTTAGTTTGGGATCCCATCTCCCATTTATGCAGATTGAGTGTTTATTTCCTGATTTTCCCCAACATCTGTAACTTACGTTGGAGTTATGATTATATTCATTCTTACTTGATAGGTTTGTCTCACTTGCAATTGAATCTGGTACTACACACTTCTCAAGTTGATCTGTCGCTATAAAGTGAAATATTTCCATGCAAAGACTAATTAAGAATCAAATAATGACATAAAATAGCCATTTAGTCAGTGTATAACAACATTATGATTTATTTCCTGAGATTCCATCAGCTGAATTAGTCCTGGACAGATTGCATAATGCAAGCTGTTATGTGTGATCATAAGTTCCATTTTGAGGACTGGAGTTCTGAGCAAGACAAACGAGTTGTTTGAGAGGTGGAGAGAAACCTAAGGCCAGAGGAGAGGTGGTGGTGGTGCTGGTTATGGTCTGTGCATGACTGGTTTCTGCAAGATTTTCTTTGTTGGGAAAAATTAAAAACCTAAACTAGGAGCTAGCATTGTGGCACAGCAGGCTGATCCATTATCTTGCTGATTGGAGTCCCAGCTGCTCCACTTCCATCCAGCGTCCTGCTAATGCACCCAGGAGAGCAGTGGAAGATGGCCAAGTGCTTGGGCCTCTGCCAGCTGTGTGAGACCTTGATAGAGTTCCTGGCTCCTGGATTTGGCCTGGCCCAGCCCTGGCTGCTTGGGAAGTGAATAGCTGGATAGAAGATATCTCTGTATATTTCCTTCCCTCTTTCTTTTGTTCTCTCTCTCTCTTTCTCTCTCTGCCAGCCTTAAAAAACAAAAACAAAAACAAAACACTACGCTAGTAGAAAGTACAGAATAAATGAATAAATACTGGGAGGGAAAAATTCAAGTAGGTCTATGAAGGACAAAAATAACTTATATTGAGCTGAATATGGGTAGGAGATTAACATTAAGAAGGAAAACTCTGAAACTGGAAGAAATAATAATTCAAAAAGAAGTTTTGATGTAAGTTAGAATGAAGAATTGAGAATTTCATATCTGATAGTAGCTTGAGTGTTCACTCCATGTGTAGTAAGGTAAATCATTTTGGAGAGAGAAGAAGACAAGACAAGGTTAGAAACTGAAGGACTGGCAGTATTTTTGACAAAAAGTTAACAATTAATCCAACAACTTTTATTGACTCATTCGACAAACTCCTATTGAGTATCTCCTATACATCAGTCTTCTAGATGTTGGAGACACTTCTGTGAGCAAAATATATAAAAATCTATGCTTTCTTGAAGCTCTGTCTTTCCCTGGAATTAATTTTTTTTTTTTTTGATAGGCAGAGTGCACAGTGAGAGAGAGAGACAGAGAGAAAAGTCTTCCTTTTGCCATTGGTTCACCCTCCAATGGCCGCCGCAGCCAGCGCACTGCGCTGATCCGATGGCAGGAGCCAGGTGCTTCTCCTGGTCTCCCATGGGGTGCAGGGCCCAAGCACTTGGGCCATCCTCCACTGCACTCCCTGGCCACAGCAGAGAGCTGGCCTGGAAGAGGGGCAACCTGGACAGAATCTGGCGCCCCCACCGGGACTAGAACCTGGTGTGCCGGCGCTGCAAGGCAGAGGATTAGCCTAGTGAGTGGCAGCGCTGGCCTGTTCCTGGAATTAACTAACAGCTAAAGATGTGATGGATCAAATCAATTAGGTTGAAGAGCCAGGACTCTCTGAATGCAATATTCAAGAAAGCTCTAGGGTCCAGCGCTGTGGAACAGCGGGTTAAAGCCCAGGCCTGAAGCACCATATGGGTGCCGGTTCTAGTCCCGGCTGCTCCTCCTCTGATCCAGTTCCCTGCTACGGCCTAGGAAAGCTGTGGATGATGGCCCAAGTCCTTAGTTCTCTACAACCATCTGGGAGACCCAGAAGAATCTCCTGGCTCCTGGCTTCGAATCGGTACAGCTGCGGCCGTTGCAGCTATCTGGAGAGAAAACCATGAGATGAAAGACCTCTCTCTCATGCTACCTCTCTCCCTCTCTCTGTATCTACCTCTCTCTGTAACTCTGTCTTTCCAATAAATAATAAATCTTTAAAAAAAAAAGAAAGCTCTAGGAAGATCTTGCTACTTCTATTTTTACTCTTTAAGCACATATTCAATTATCACCAACAAAATCTGTAATCATTGTTTTTAAGACTGCATATTTTCAGGAATATCTTTAACTTTCAAAAAGATACTGCAAATATTATTTTTCTAATAAAATAAAAACATAATATACTATATAATTATTATTATAGTTTAGTATTCTTAAATATTCTCACCAACACACTGAGGAAGTTGAGTCCATGTTCCATTAATGCATGTAATTGATCTGTGTCCAATCATTGTAAATGTTTCTCTGCAGCTGAACGCCACTGAATCTCCATGGTGATAGGGAGGGGCAGAAGGCTCAACGTAGCCATGCTCCAGTTCAGGTATATCTCCACATGTGCTTTCCTCCTCTGTGGAAATTTCATGAAAATGTAGTTATAGATAAACACAGCTTGTAGGTGTTAGGAAAACAAAAACTGTTTCAATATTAATAACTGTATATTTTACCAATACATGTTGGTAAGGTTGTCCAGTTTCCATCAACACACTCAATTTTATGAGGCCCCTTCAACAGAAATTTAGAATTGCAAACATATTCCACTACCTCACTGTGTTCATATTCTTCTTTCTTTATTCCTTTAACTTGTCCATTGAGGAGCTGAGGAGGTGAACTACATGATTGTACTTGCCCTAGAGTAGAAATATTGTAAATATTGGTTAAATTGCCTATTTTATAATTAAAAAACAATCAAATGGATACATCATCTTCTTTAATTTATTGTTCATCATCTTTCATTATAGCATTTTTAAACATTGAACAGGAGTGGTGTTTCACCAGATTCACATTTCCTGTGAATGACTTATATTGAATTAGCATTGAAGATAAATTTAGGTTTTAAATATGTTCATATTTTGAAGATGCATGCAGACCAATTAGCAAATATGGTTGTTTAAATTACAATGATTTTAAACATTTTATCATAAATTTTTGAAGAAAGTACAGTGACTGAGGCAATACTTGATCAACATATTTTCACTCTGATTCAGTAACTCATTCAATTGAATTGACCGTACACATGCAAAGGACTGTGACATAAGGCTCATGCTATGGAAAAATGGCCAATATTAGCGGTGGTATAGTAGGCAATAGGGAAATTATCAAAATAAGTCCTTCCTATCTCAGCCACCACTATGTATGTACAAACACTTCCATTAAATAGTTCAAGAAACTATTGGAAATTATTTTCTGAAGCAAGGAAACCTGAGGAGTCTGCCCCCCCACCCAGCACATGTCTTTTACAGAACCCTCTCGGAGTTAATGCATCAGCGTTCACATAAGGACATGCTGGAAGCTCACAGAAATTAGCAGAGGGAGAGCAGTTAGGATATTCAAAATCTGACTTCTTGGTTCAGCAATTGTAAGATAAATAATCACCTTTACATGTTGGAACATTAGGGGACCATCCAAAGTGGTAACACTGTATTGAATCTGGTCCCACTCTTCTAAGTCCCGCTCTGCAGGTGAATTTCAGCACGTCTCCAGCTCTGTATTTTTCGTTCTTGGGATCAATAACAAATACCTCTTTTCCTACTTGAGGAACCCTGCATTCTCTTTCTAAAAACATAAAGTAGTTTAATGAGAATATATAATTAATCTTCGCCAAAGTCAGCTTTAAATGTGTCATATAAATATGAGCAGATACTCAGTGATGGATATACTGGGGGAATCAGATAAATTCTCTTCCTGGGAAAACTGTTATACATGGTTATCCACCCTGCAAATTCCTATGGGACTCTGAGAAACAGTGTTTACTCCTTTGGCTAGAAACATTCTACATGAGCTCATCTTCCCACTTTTCCCCTTCTAATCCTGGAAAACAGAGAGCTGATTATCAAATATAAAAGAGATTCCTGTAATTATCCACACAACTTGTCATAAAGGAAAAAGAACTACCCTTATGATCTGCAGAAACTAGTAATCAAAGTAGAAGGTTAAAAGTAGAAACTCAGGAGTAAAATAGCTGAGCAAGTTGTAACAAACCATGATGGTCATTGGAGCCCAGTTTTAAGTCATTTGCAAGCTTACATTTACTATAACAAAGACAGTTCTTTTCTAATCAGAATACTGTGATGGACGCACCCCTAGGAAAAAGTACCTTAGGGTATTTTAAAAATAGATTATTTTTTGGCTTCAAAAGACAGTTTACATCAAGTCAAAAAGAAATAGGTTGATTTCATCCTTGTGGTTTTTTTAAATGCTACTAGAATACTTAAAAAAATGGGACACATAATTTAATCAAAAAATTCCTGAAAATTCAGTACTCACCATAACATGTGGGTAAATCAGTCCAACCACTGTAACCACATTCTATGGTGCCTTTGGTGTGTCCATCTGTGTTTTCATATCCATCATGGCACTCGTAGTCCAATTGGTCACCAAGCTTATACCATATGCTATTGTTTTTGGCTCTGGAATTCTCAAAAACTGGCATGTCACAAGATTCTAATACATAATAAAATATAATATTTCACTTCTCATGTAATTTAATGGGCAATCTAAGGAACATTTACTATAAGAACAAATGGCTTTATCCATTAGCATGTGCTAATAAATTAAATACTATATAAAAATTATCTAAGAAAACTAATGTGATAGCACTGCTGGTAATAAAATAGGCCATTATAAATATAAAGAATTTTTAAAGTAAACCAGAATAGCATTTTGTGAAATAGATGTCAGACATAGTTGCTCTGACATACATAAGAGAAAAAATTAGTTGATTACAAAGATTAAGCTATAACATACATTTCCTATTCCTCAAAAAGAAGGTTTCAGGTTGATTATTTGTTATAATGTAGACAGAATGAGCTTTATATGAGGATATTTTATCAATTTTTCTATAGATAGAACTCATAATAAGCATAGAAATTAGAAAGAATTAAAAGAGCAGGAATGGGTAGTCTAACTCTCCATTTCATTAATAGCTTGTTAGATATCAGGCAAAAATATCCCAGAACAGGTTGGGGATAAATAAGATAAACTGAACTAACTCCTCTTGGAAAATCTGTACTAACATTTGGGTAATGTGATGAGAAATCTTTCAACACAGCAAAGGTTGGTACCACCTTGAAATATTTCTTTCTTTCTACTATCTAGATATTGATGAAGATTTTCTAAGAGGAAGGGTATTCAGAAATGTACCTACCAAACAATAGAAAGCATACATTATAAAGATTAGATTTTTCTGGGATTGTATACTATGGAAACATACCACTGAAAACATTACTTTTATATGTATGGGGCAAAGACTTTGATATAAAAAGGCTGATCACCTAAAAAACAGGCATATTTAACATTCACAAAGGTCTCAGCTAAAATAAGTGCATGTACACCAGAAACACCTAAGCTTCCTAAACAATTTCCAAATCACAGGATGATTTAAGTGGAAAAAAAAATTGAACTGACATTGATATTCTACCATATTAGTATCTAATCTTAAAAGGAAGAATACATATATGATTTTTTCTCAAAGTTTTTATTTATTTTTTGAATAAAATCACTTATGCCCTCAACCCCCCCAAAAAAAACCAAAATAAAACTGAAGTAACTTTATCCTGTCATAAATAATATGAATAAATAATGGGATATGAACGTGTACATTACTCACTAATGCATGTGGGTTGATGGGACCATCCACTCTGCAGACATGTGACTGATCCTGATGTTTCACCATCTGTGGTTACATATCCTGGCTTACACCTGTATTCTGTTTTTCTGTTTAGGGCATACGTAAAATCAAATTCAGACATAAACCCATTCTCCACTTCTATATCTAATTTTGAACATGTTTCTAAAAGAGAAAAAAAGCAAGAAAAGATAGCAATATGTTTAATTATACTTACATTGACTTTAATACTATTAAGATGTCCATGTAAGAACAATGAGTCATGTATAAATAAAAACCTGGATTAAGTATAATTGTTCAAGTTCTTGTGTCTAAGAAAAAAAGCTATGAGTTTCCAAAAATAGTTTTTCAAGATACTTCATGAAATTTAATGGCTTTCATAAAGAAATCCACAGCCAACAAATGCTGGTGAGGCTGTAGGGGAAAAGGTACCCTAATCCACTGCTGGTGGGAATGTAAACTGTGCAGCCACTGTAGAAGACAGTATGGAGATACCTCAGATATCTGAAGATAGACCTATAAAATGACCCAGCTATTCCACTCCTGGGAATTTACCCAAAGGAAATGAAATCAGCATATGAAAGAGTTCCCTGTAGCACATGTTTATTGCAGCTCAATTCATACTAGCTAAATATGGAATCAACTCAGATGCCCATCAGTTGAAGACTGGATAAAGATACCATGGTATATGTACACTATGGAATACTACACAGGAGTGAAAAAATGAAATGCCAAAAAAAAAAAAATGGATGTGACTGGAAAACATTATACTTAGTGAGATAAGTCAGTCACAAAAAGACAAATGCCGTATGTTCTATACAATCTAACATCTAATCATCTAACAAAATCTAAAGGATTCTTTCTATAAAAGAAAAAATACTGAAAACAAGCTACTGAGTTTAAAAAATTAGAATAAAGAAAACAAAACATAAGTACACATTTTGAAAAAATTCATATGAGAAAATAAAATATTAGAGGAAATTAACAAAAGCAACATTTGCAACGATATGCATTAAAATTGGTAAACATCAGGCAAGAATAATCAAGAAAAACCGAGTTCCACAATGAGGAAACTGGAATAAAAAGATAAAAATAACAGTCATCATGTATCAGCAAACAAGGAGTACTTGACCGTAATTACAGAGAAAATAAGCAAATGATGTGCACTCTGTTTCAAGTGGTTTTAGACTTGCAGGGATTTTCCAGAAAACAGCACAGAAAGAAAGAATCTAAGCAAAGACATCAGTCTTGCTGGAAAAAAGTAACAAACTCAGTGTTTTCCGAGGGATTGAGGTTACTAGAATATGCAGAAGAGAGAGCCAGAGCAGAAGTGAGCTTGGAGTGGACAAGCTCTGAACACCTATAGCATGACCCCTTGGATCTTCGGCTGAATATTGACATGCTCCAGGTAGGACAAGACTGCAGGAACAGGGAGAAAGAATGACTTCCAGGGATCAATAAGGTCAACTGAGCACCAGCAAAACAGGCTGACATTCCAATGTGGTCAGTCTGAGTGGAAGACTCTTTTCAGCAGTGCTCAAGCTACGCCTAACTGAAGCCAATGGATAAACCACAATCCAAATCTGCGGAATGACAGAGAAGCAGTGTGGAATAAACAGGCTGCACTATCACTGGTATCAGGAAGAACAAGGTTCCACATCATTTACCTTGGCTACAATGCTAAGACAGCAGAAAAAGTAGAAGAAATAAACCAGTAAGAACAGAATTAAAATAATAAAGAAGAAAAATAAAAAAGTAAATAAACAATGCAAGAAAAAGCATTTCACTTTAGGAGATCCCAGAAACTGATTCTTTTAAACAGGGTTATCAGAAAAAAAAAAAAGAGTACAGGTGGCCATTTGATTTCCTCTTTTGAAAAATGTCTATTGAGGTCCTTTGCCCATCTCTTAAGTGGGTTGTTTGTTTTGTTTTTGTGGAGTTTCTTGATCTCTTTGTAGATTCTGCTTATCAACCCTTTATGTGTTGCATAGTTTGCAAATATTTTTTCCCATTCTGTCGGTTGTCTCTTCACTCTCCTGACTGTTTCTTTTGCAGTACAGAAACATCTCAATTTGATGCAATCCCAATAGTTGATTTTGGCTTTGACTGCCTGTGCCTCCCGAGTCTTTTCCAGAAACTCTTTGCCTGTGCCAATATCTTGAAGGGTTTCTCCAATGTTCTCTAATAACTTGATGGTGTCAGGTCATAGATTTAGGTCTTTAATCCATGTTGAGTGGATTTTTGTGTAAGGTGTAAGGTAGGGGTCTTGCTTCATGCTTCTGCACGTGGAAATCCAGTTTTCCCAGCACCATTTATTGAATAGACTGTCCTTGCTCCAGGGATTGGTTTTAGATCCTTGATCAAATATAAGTTGGCTGTAGATGTTTGGGTTGATTTCTGGTGCTTCAATTCTGTTCCATTGGTCTATCCATCTGTTTCTGTAGCAGTACCATGCTGTTTTGATTACAACTGCCCTGTAGTATGTCCTGAAATCTGGTATTGTGATACCTCCGGCTTTGTTTTTGTTGTACAAGATTGATTTAGCTATTTGAGGTCTCTTGTGCCTCCATATGAATTTCAGCATCATTTTTTCTAGATTTGAGAAGAAGGTCTTTGGTATCTTGGTTGGGATTGCATTGAATCTATAAATTGCTTTTGGGAGAATGGACATTTTGATGATGTTGATTCTTCCAATCCATGAGCATGGAAGATTTTTCCATTTTTTGGTATCCTCTTCTATTTCTTTCTTTAAGATTTTGTAATTCTCATCGTAGAGATCTTTAACGTCCTTGGTTAAGTTTATTCCAAGGTATTTGATTGTTTTTGTAGCTATTGTGAATGGATTGATCTTAGCAGTTCTTTCTCAGCGGTAGCATTGCTTGTGTATACAAAGGCTGTTGATTTTTGTGCATTGATATTATATCCTGCCACTTTGCCAAACTCCTCTATGAGTTCCAATAGTCTCTTAGTAGAGTTCTTTGGATCCTCTAAGTAAAGAATCATATCGTCTGCAAAGAGAGATAGTTTGACTTCTTCCTTCTCGATTTGTATTCCTTTGATTTCTTTTTCTTGTCTGATGGCTCTGGCTAGAACTTCCAGAACTACGTTAAATAGCAGTGGTGAGAGTGGGCATCCCTGCCTGGTGCCAGATTTCAGTGGAAATGCTTCCAACATTTCCCCATTCAATAGGATGCTGGCTGTGGGTTTTTTATAAATTGCTTTGATTATATTGAGGAATGTTCCTTCTATACCCAATTTGCTTAGAGTTTTCATCATGAAAGGGTGTTGAATTTTATCTAATGCTTTCTCTGCATCTATTGAGATAATCATATGGTTTTTCTTCTGCAGTCTGTTAATGTGGTGAATCACATTGATTGATTTGTGAATGTTGAAACATCCCTGCATACCAGGGATAAATCCCACTTGGTCTGGCTGGATGATTTTCCTCATGTGTTGTTGTATTCTATTGGCGAGAATTTTATTGAGGATTTTTGCGTCTATGTTCATCAGGGGTATTGGTCTATAATTTTCTTTCAGTGCTGCATCTTTCTCTGGATTAGGGATTAAGGTGATGCTGGCTTCAAAGAAAGAATTTGGGAGGATTCCATCTTTTTCGATTGTTCTGAATAGTTTGAGCAGAATTGGAATTAGTTCTTTAAATATCCGGTAGAATTCAGCAGTGAATCCATCTGGTCCTGGGCTTTTCTTTGTTGGGAGGGACTTTATTACTGTTTCAATTTCTGTTTCAGTTATGGGTCTATTTAGGTTTTCTATGTCTTCATGGTTCAATTTAGGTAGGTTGCATGTGTCCAGGAATCTATCCATTTCTGATAGATTTTCCTGTTTGCTGGCATACAAGTCCTTATAGTAATTTCTGATGATTCTTTTTATTTCTGTGGTGTCTGTTTGTTAGGTTTCCTTTTTCATCTCTGATTTTATTGATTTGGGTCTTTTCTTTTTTTAGTTAGTTGGGCCAATGGGGTGTCAATTTTGTTTATTTTTTCAAAAAACCAGCTTTTCACTTGGCTGATTTTTTGTAATGTTCTTTTGGATTCAATCCTATTAATTTCTTCTCTGATTTTAATTATTTCTCTTCTCCTACTAGCTTTGGGTCTGGTTTGCTGCAAATTTTCTAGATCCTTGAGATACAGTGAAAGCTTATCTATTTGGTGCCTTTCCAATTTCTTGATGTAGGCACCTATTGATATAAACTTTCCTCTCAACACTGCTTTTGCCGTATCCCATAAGTTTTGATATGTTGTGTTGTTATCCTCATTTACTTCCAGAAAGTTTTTGATTTCTCTTTTGATTTCTTGAATGACCCAGTGTTCATTCAGGAGCATGTTGTTCAGTCTCCATGTGTTTGCATACTTTCTAGGGTTTCATTCCGCTGTGGTCTGAGAAGCTGCATGGTATGATTCTAATTCTTTTAAATTTGCTGAGACTTGCTTTATGGCCTAGTATGTGATCAATCCTAGAGAAGGTTCCATGCACTGCTGAGAAGAATGTGAAGTCTTTAGATGTAGGATTGAAAGTTCTGTAGATATCTGTTAGATCCATTTGGGCAATAGTGTCGATTAAATCTGCTGTTTCCTTGTTGATCTTCTGTCTGGATGATCTGTCTATTTCTGAGAGTGGAGTATTGAAGTTCCCCAGTACTACTGTATTGGAATCTAAGTCTCCCTTTAAGTCCCTTAACATATCTTTTAAATAGACCAGTGCCCTGTAATTAGGTGCATATACATTTATAATAGTCACATCTTCCTGTTGAACTGAACCCTTAATCATTATATAGTGCTCCTCTTTGTTTCTCTTAACAGTCTTTGTATTAAAGTTTATTTTGTCTGACATTAATATGGCTACACCTGCTTTTTTTTGGTTTCTATTGGCATGGAATATCTTTTTCCAACCTTGCACTTTCAGTCTGCTTGCATCTTTGTTAGAGAGATGTATTTCTTGTAGGCAACAAATAGTTGGGTTTTGTTCCTTAAGCCAATCAGCCAATCGGTGTCTTTTAACTGAAGAATTCAGACCATTAACATTTAATGTGACTATTGATACATAGTGACTTTGCCCTGCCATTTTCCCGGAAATATTTTCTAGTATATGCTTTGAGCTTCCCATGCTCTTTTACTGGTAGGTGTTCTTCCTTTCCCTTCTTTCATATTGATGGCCGTGTTTCTGTGTTTCTGAGTGTAACACATCTTTAAGTATCTTTTGCAGGGCCAGACGAGTGGCGGCAAACTCTTTCAATTTCTGTTTGCTATGAAAGGTCTTTATTTCACCTTCATTCAGAAATGAGAGCTTGGCAGGATATAATATTCTGGGCTGGCAATTTTTCTCTCTTAGCACCTCTGCTATGTCTCGCCATTCCCTCCTAGCCTGTAGTGTTTCTGATGAGAAATCTGCTGTGGGTCTAATGGGAGATCCTCTGAGAGTAATCTGACGTTTCTCTCTTGCACATTTTAGGATCTTTTCTTTATGTTTCACTGTGGTGAGTTTAATTACCACGTGTCGTGGTGAGGATCTCCTTTGGTCATGTTTATTGGGGGTTCTATGAGCTTTCTGTAGTAGGATGTCTCTGTCCTTCTCCAAACCCGGAAAGTTTTCTGCTAGTATCTCACTAAAAAGGCCTTCTAATCCTTTCTCTCTTTCCATGCCTTCAGGAACTCCTAGAACTCGAATGTTGGTTTTTTTAATAGTATACTGTAGATTCCCAACAATATTTTTTAGATTTCTAATTTCCTCTTCTTTTCTTTGGTTTGACTGTCTGTTTTCCTGTGCTCTGTCTTCTAAGTCCGATATTCTCTCTTCTGTTTCACTGACTCTGTTTTTTAGACTTTCTAATGTGTTTGTCATTTGATCTATTGAGCTCTTCATTTCACTTTGATTTCTCTTCACTATCACACTTTCCTGTTCTACTAGTTTCTGCATTTCATTTTGATTCTTCCTTAAAATTTCATTTTCACGAGAGAGATTTTCAATCCTGTCCAATAAGGATTTCTGTAGTTCAAGGATTTGCTTTTGAAAACTTCTAAATGTTCTTATCATAAATTTTTTGAAACCGTATCTTGCATTTCTTCTATCTCATCATCTTCATAATCTTGGCTTGGGGTGTTTTGTTTATTTGGAGGCGTCATAGTGTCATCGTTGATCTTGTTTCCTCGATTTCTGTGTTTGTTGCTTGGCATTGTTAATTCTTCTTCCCTCACTCTGAGTTTTTTTTTTTTTATACTATGTCTGTGTTAAGTGGACTGCCTGCTGTTGGAGGAGCCTTGGAAGCTTGAGATGGGTGTGGCCTGAGAGCTCTGCTTGGTTCTTCCGTGTTACGGGTGTGCAAAGGTGACACCCTCAGGTTATGCGTGGTAAATCTCTCTCTATGTATTTGTTTATTTATTTATTTTATTTTATTTTATTTTTTATTCAGGAGGTAAGTAATACCACATGGCTGAGCAGAATTGATGGTATTTAGCCTCTGATCTCTGGCTTCTACCCAATGAGTCTGTGCAGGTTCAGTTTCTACTGAGGACTCCCACTGGGTTCCCTAGGCTACTGAATTGTAGCTTTAGCTCTCCCCTTTTGTTATGTATATCCCGAGTGGGGCCTGCTCTTTGTCTCTTGCTTACCTTTGCAAGGTTGGTGGAGAGAGAAACTTGTTTGTACCAGTACCCCCCCCACCATTTTTTTTTTCCTTCTCTCCTGTAGTCAGTCTGGTGAACTTTCCCACCTCAAAGCCTGCTTCCCTCTAGATTCTGTCCGCTGTTTCCCCGCCAATGTCTCCAGTTACTGAGCTCACCTCACCTTCCAGCGCAGATGTGTGGACTCGGAGCCCTGGGCGTCCCTGCTCTCCCCATTGGTGTCTGTGTGACATCCACTCCCCTTCCCACACTGGCGCGCAGACCCTACGGCTCCCGTCCACGCGGTGGGCGACCTTGCTCTGCCAGTAGGTCCTCTGAGTCACAGCCACTAGATCCGGAAGAGTTTCCTCTGCAATTTTTTCCTGATCCTTTTTCTGAGGCTACCGTAACTCCACTTTTATTAAACTAAATTTTCCCGGACTATCGGTGCGCGCCCTCACTATTCCGCCATCTTGGCTCCGCCCCCCATACTTATTCTAAATCTACAGTAATTAAAATAGAACACTTGGGAAAATTATTTACAAATAGTATAACATAGATTATCCAGAAGAATAGCTAATATATTTATATTAATAATATTTAACATATGAGAAAGGTACAATAACAGAGTACTGCGAAAATGCCATTTCCCATAATTTTAAAAAAGGAATTATGGTTATTAGTTTACATGAAAATAAATTCAAAATGGATTAAATATATGAAAAAAGGTAGCATTACTTTTTAAAATAAAATTCAATATAATGTCACTAGGTTTTAAAGAAGAGAATAATACTTTAGAAAGAAACAGATTAATCATAAAAATACTTATAATTTTATAATAGAACAACTTCTCTTTAGAATATAAAGAAAAGAAAAACACAAGCCACAGAAATCAAGGACATATTTACAATACATATAATTGAAAGAGGATTAACATGTAGAATGACTAAGATTCTTCAGCATAAAAACCCTTAAAAAGGTAAATTTAAATAACCATCACACTAGATTTCACAGATTAGAATAATTTACTGCCATTGACCTATGAATATACATGTCTAACTCAAGTAATAGGAAATGCCCATTAACACTACCATGCTATAGCATTTTATAGCCACTCTTTCTGTAAATATTAAAGTGGGTTATCACTTGATCATTAGCCAGACCAACAAGGAAATGTACATATGAGTGTACACTGGTACACCCATTTTAGGAAAACCTTGTAAGGCAGAATGTAAACCATGTCTGAGAAAAACCCATTTCTAGTTATATATGCTAGGGAAACTCAGTAACAGTACAGTGGAAAGTACTTAAATGCACAAAGGTCATTTTTTTTGTGAAAATGGTATTATTTTCTATTTTAAATTAAAATTTTTTTGACAGGCAGAGTTAGACAGTGAGAGAGAGAGAGACAGAGAGAAAGGTATTCCTTCCCTTGGTTCACACACCAAGTGGCCGCTATGGCTGGCGTGTTGCGGCCAGTGCGCTGTGCCAATCCAAAGCCAGGAGCCAGGTGCTTCCTCCTGGTCTCCCATGCAGGTGCATGGCCCAAGCACTTGGGCCATCCTCTATTGCCTTCACGGGCCACAGCAGAGAGCTGGACTGGAAGAAGAGCAACTGGGACAGAATCTGGCGCCCCAACCGGGACTAGAACTCAGGGTGCCAGCACCACAGCAGAGGATTAGCCTAGTGAGCTGCGGTGCTGGCCTAAATTAAAATTTTATGACAATTTTGAGTCAACTGAGTAAGAGACTTGTAATGTGTATCTGTTTTTCAAGATTTATTTTAATTATTTGAAAGATAACAGTTATTGAGAGAGAGGGAGAGATGTATCCTCTTTCTTCCCACTGGAGAAGAGTATTAGGAAATGATGAACATACTGAGGTCTCAGAGCACTTTACTTACTGACACGTATGCACTTGGGGAGAGGGGACCAGCCATTCTCTGTACATGTGATTTCGGTCTGCTCATTTGGAAGACTATATCCCGGATAGCAGTCAACTTTCACAGATTCATTCTGTAAATAAGGTCTTTCTGAAGATGGACGATATCCATTTTCCACATAACTGAATGTACATTTTCCTAAGGATCATAAAAATGATTTGAAAGGTAAGAATATTAATTTGGTCAATATTGTAAGTTAAAAATTACCTTTATAATATTTAAACAATAAAGTATATGTATCCAAAAATAACCTATAATTAAGAAACACTGAAACTACTATTAAATGCTTATTAAAAAAATCAATATTCCATGCTATGTATCTTTAGTTTTAAAATTGCTATATACATAAAAGGTATCGAGATTCTTGTAAAAAATCTCAATATTTGTCACATGATGTTTATGAAGAGCTCTTTATAAAAGAAAAATCTACTGAGGTCATTTGTTGTAGAATTATTCCTTCATTTTATTTTTCATATTTATTTGTCTATTTCTCAGTTTATTTATTTATTTGAGAAGCTGAGAGGGAAGGAGAGTGAGAGAGATAGCGACAGGAGGGGAAACTTCTATCCATTGGCTCACTCTCCCACTGTCTGCAATAGCAGGGAATGGGCCAGCTGAAGCCAGGAGCCAGAAACCCAATCCAAGTCTGCCACGTGGGTGACATGCATCCGGCTACTTGAGCCATCCACTGCTGCATCCAGGAATGCACATTCACAGGAAGCTGGAATTGGGGCAAAATCAGGACTAAAACTCGGGCACTCTGAAACAGGAAGCGAGTGATCCAGAGGTGTCTGACCACTAGGTGAAGGCTCACCTTCCTGGGTTCTATTCTTGTCATGCAAGTCTTAGTTGTTAGCACCTATGTGCTCCTCTTTGCACTCTTGGGAATATTTATGTAAATCTAACTGCTAAGACAGGTACTTACTGAGACAGGGCACTTTGGGTGACCATCCTTCTTTGGTGCAATGAATGTAATCCCAGTATGAATTTGAAGGAGTCACAAAATTGGGGTTGCAGTGATAGCTATAATAGTTTCCTACAGCTACTGGAAAGTATGGTCTATATCTGTCTTCATAATACAGACGTCCATGATTTATTTGTGGAAAATCACAGGGTTTCACTTGCAATAAGAAACAAAAAAAGTGCAAAAAATCTTTTACTTTATTGAACAATCACATCAGAGTTGAATCATTTGGTCAATGAATTATATTCTCTTGATACTATAATTACACCCATTGAAATAAGGTTTTTAGAATAAGGCAAGTTATAGAATTCGGATGACTGGGGGGGGGGGGACTCTTTGTTAATGAAAATGAAAATGTGTCTTGTCATTCACAAGGACCTACAAACTAGTATAAAGCCTTCAGGGAAAAAAAAGAGTACAGACTTATACTACAAATTCTCCTCGAGTACATATGACATATCCTCACTCCGGCTAATTAAATGAACATTCTTGTTAAGAGGTGAAGGTATGGATCTTACCTTTCAGTTCATACCTTTCTTTTTTAATTTTCAATTCTCATCAGAAATCAGAATCCACCTTTTCTCATAAAAATGCAATATAGGGAGATAGTAGTTTGGTTTTGTTTTGTTTTAAAATTTTTATTTTTATTTTTACTTCAGACAATGTAAGAAATATAGAAAAACAAAAAAATTTTTCTTTTCATCATACCACAAAACATTTATCAAAACTTTTGGGATACAGCAAACACAGTATTAAGAAGAAAGTTTATAGCAATTATTGCCTACATCAAAAATTGAAAAGGTATTAAATAATGAATCTAAAAAGGCATTTCAAAAACCTGAAGAACAAGGACAAACAAAATTCATAATCTGGAGAAGGAAATAAATAATACAATTAGAGAATAAAAAGAAATTAAAATTATAAAATATCAGTGAAATGAAGAACTGGTTTTTTTTGAAAAAAAAAATTGATAAAAGATTTGTCCATATAACCAAAACAAAAACAAAAAGGAAGAAGTCCCAAATTACTAAAATCAGAAGTGAAAAGGGAGGGGCTGGTGCTGTGGCGCAGTGAGTTAAAGCCCTGACCTGAAGCACCGGCATCCCATATGGGTGCTGGTTCTAGTCCCGGCTGCTCCTATTCCAATCCAGCTCTCTACTATGGCCTGCAAGGCAATAGAAGATGGCCCAAGTGCTTGGGCCCCTGCACCCACATGGGAGACACAGAAGAAATTCCTGGCTCCTGGTTTCGGATCAGCACAACTCCGGCCATTGCAGCCATCTGGGGAGTAAACCAATGGATAGAAGACCTCTCTCTCTGTCTCTACCTCTCTCTGTAACTTTGTTTTTCAAATAAATAAAATCAACGTTTAAAAAAAAAGAAATGAAAAGGGAAACAGGAAGTGATGCCACAGGAATGGAAAAAATTAGGAATTATTTCAAATAGCTATATGTCAATAAATTGGGAAATATAATAGAAATGAATGTATTTCTGGAGAGATACAGTTTACCAAAACTGTGGCATGAGAACATGGAAAGTGTGAATACATCAATAGCCAAGACTGATACTGAGTCAGCAACAAAAACTTGTTCAATAAAGAAAAGCCCAAGACCTGATGGTTTCACTGCTGAATTTTACTGAACTTTTAAGGAAGAACTAATCCTAATTCATCTATTTTATTTATTTACTTACTTACTTATTTATTCATTTGAAAAGTACAGCTAAAGAGAGGGAGGGAGGAATAGAAAGAGGGAGGGAAGGAGGGAGAGAGAGAGAGAGAGAGAGAGAGAGAGAGACTGATCTTCCAACTGCTGGTTCACTCCCCAAATCGCTACAGCAGCCAGGCCTGGGTCAGGCTGAAGCCAGGATCTAGACTCCACCAGGTCTCACATGTGGGTGGCAGTGACCCAAGTTTTCCCAGGCCGTGAGCAGGCAGCTGGATTGGAAGTGGAGCAGCTGGGACACAAACCCACACCCATATGTGAATCTGGTGCAGCAGATGGCAGCTTAACCCGCTGAGACACAGCACCAGGCCCCCACCCAATTCATCTTAAATTATTCAAAGTAATTAAAAGGAAGGAACTCTTCCAGACTTATTCTATGAGGGCAGCATTACCTTAACTCCAAAACCAGAGAAAGATACAACAGCAAAGAGAACTATAGAGCAATATCACTGATGAATATAGATGTAAAATTCCTCAACAAAAGATAGTAAACTGAAGTCAACAAAACATTAAAAAGATCATCCGCACAGAACAAGTGGGATTTATCCCAGGGATGCAGGGATGGCTCAACAAACAAGAGTCAATAAACAGGATACATCATATCAACAAAATGAAGGAAAATAAACATGATTCTCTCAACAGCTGCAGAGAACGCATTTGATAAAATACAATATCCTTCCATAAAATTAAAATTAAAAATGAGTATAAAAGGAACAAACGTCAACACAATCAAGGCAATATATGATAAACTCACAGCCAGGATCATATTGAATGGAGAAAAGCTGGAAGCATTGCCACCAAGTTCTGGAACCAGACAAGGATGCGCACTTTCACCATTATTATTCGATATATTTTTGTAACTTTTAGCCACATCCATTAGAGAAGACAAAGAAATCAATGGGAAAGCAGGAAGTCAAATTATACCTGTTTGCAGCTGATCTGATCCTTTATACTGGGGAAATAAAGACTCCACTGAGACTGATGGAACTCAGTTTGGCAGAGTTGCAGGATATAAAATCAACACACAAAAATCAGTAGCATTCATATATACTAATAATTCTTGGATTGAGAAAGAACTTACAAGGTCAGTCTGATTCACCATAGGTCCCAAACATTTAAATGCCTTAGGATGAATTTAACCAAAGATGTGAAATATCTCTACAATGAAAATGACAAAACATTAATGAAAGAAATAGGAGACACACACAAAAAGAAAAATGTTCCACATTAGGATGGGCAGATCATTAGAATCCCAGTCAAATGCCAAGGACATTCCTCACAGAACTAGAAGAAAACAGTTCTAAAATTCATATGGAAACACAAAAGATCCTAAATAGCCAAAGCAATCTTAAGCAATAAAACAAAGGGGAGGCATCACAATATCAGATTTCAAAACCTACCACAGGGTTGGTATAATCAAAAAAGCCAGGTACTGGACAAAACAGATGTATAGACCAATAGAACAGAATAGAAACTCCATAAATTAATCCATGCATCCACAACTAACTGATCTTTGACAAATGAGCTTAAATTACTCCTGGGAGTTAGGACAGTCTTCATCAAATTGTGTTGGAAAAATTGGACTTCCATATGCAGACATTTGAAACAAGACCACTACATTATACCTTAAACAAAAATCAACTTACAATTTATCAAGGATCTATACCTAAGAACTGCAACTCTCAATTTTTTTAAAGAAAGTACAGTTCTTTTTTTTCTGAAAGATTCATTTATGTATTTGAAGGTGGAGTTACAGAGAGGCAGAGGGAGAGAGAAAGAGAAAGAGATAAAGAGAGAGAGAGAGAGAGAGAGAGAGAGAGAGAGAGAGAGAGAGGGAGGGAGAGGTCTTCCACCCATGGTTCACTTCCCAGATGGACACAATGGCTAGAGCTATGCTGATCCAAAGCCAGGAGCTTCTTCTGGGTCTCCCACATGTGTGCAGGGGCCCAAGGACTGTATTACTTTCCCAGGCCATAGCAGAGAGCTGTATTGGAAGTGGAGCAGCCAGGACTCAAACCAGTGCCCATGTGGGATGCCGGCACTGCACGCAATGGCTTTACCCACTACACCACAGCAACAGCACCAACCAACAATTTTCTAGAGGGAAACGTCGGGGGAATGTACAAGACTCTGGTCTGGGCAAAGATTTCTTGGATATGATCCCAGAAGCACAGGCAATGAAAGGAAAAATAGACAAATTGGATTACATCAGCTAAGAAGCTTCTTCAAAGCAAAAGAAACTCAGTAAGTGAAAAGGCAACCTACAGGATAGGAGAAAGTATTAGCAAACTATTTATCTGATAAAGGATTAATGTCCATAATATGTAAGGAACAAAAGAAACTCAACAACAAAACAAATAACCCAGCTAAGAAATTGGAAAGAACATGAACAGGAACTCCTCCAGGTTGAAATACAAATAGCCAGCAGACATGTGAGAAAATGCTCAGGACCACTAGCCATCAGGGAAAGGAAAATAAAAACCACAATGAGGCATAACCTCACCCCAGTTAGAATGGCTATTATTCAAAAGTCAAAAAATAGCAAATGCCAGTGAGGATGCGGAGAAAAAAATACCCTAATACATTGCTCGTGGGAATATAAACTGGTACAACCATTCTGGAAAACATTATAGAAAGTTCTCAGAAAACTAGAAATAGATCTACTATATGAACCAGCTATCCCACTCCTGGGAAACTATCCAAAGGAAATGAAATCAGCATAAGAAAGTGTTACATGCACTCCCATGTTTGTAACCCTTCAGTTCACAATAGCTAAAATATGGAATCAAACCAGATGTCCATCAACTGATGACTGGATAAAGAAAGTATGGTATATACAGGCTGGAATTATACTTGGTCATAAAAAAGAATGAAATCCTGATATTTGCAGCAAAATGGATACAACTGGAGAGATTATTGTGCTAAATGAAATAAGCCACACCCAAAGTTTCAATATCACATGTTTTCTCTTATTCGTATCAGTTAATATGTTCAGAGGATAAAAGTTGTGAGGACATCAGGTTATTTGGTATTTAGTTGTAAATATTGCTTCACTGAATCAAACTATGTATATGATGATATACTCTTATTTAACACATCAAAATAAAGAAATAGAGAGTGAAGGATAGTGAGGACCCTTGCAGTACCAGCAATGTTGTTCTTATTTTGGGTGTTGGTTATGAGTGTGATCACATGACCAAAAGTCATGATCTGTAAATTATGTGTAGTTCTTGGTCTGTATACTGAATGTTAATAAAATGTCTGAGAAAGAATTGGAATGGAACTCACAGCTACATCTTGGACCAGGCACCCAGCCACTCCCCGTGCATCTTGCTGTATTTCCCCGGGTTGCAGGATAAAAACCTGTTTTACACTCATATTTGATTTCATCTCCAGTTCTGTGTTGAATCCTTTTCGGTAAGTAGGATCCATTTGGAATATAAGGAGCATTACATGTTACTTCTGAAAAGAAAAGGGATATGTGAATAATGTAGAAATCAGTGCCCAGACAAGTTAATCAACTACATGAAGATAAAAAAGTAGATGTTAATTATATATCTTTGCAACATCACAAAATGTGTACATCTTCATATCCTTTCTGCTTTATCATTCATATTTTCCTCCACTATGTTTGTCATTAGATGCATTTGTACCCCTTGGACTTTTAATCACTCTTTCTCGAAAGCCAACATACACTTCATGATTTTCCATATCCAGCAATGACTCCATGACATATAGCTTCAACTGTTCTTTCCACTTCTTTTTACCTCTTAGGTTTCTATTCTCATAGGGGCTGTTTGCAATACTCAGTGTCTTTTTCTTCCAGACAGTTTGTGGGAAGTACATCCTTCCTGTTTGAAGTAAATGTGACCATGTGCCTTGTATAAGACAATGAAATGAAAATGGATGTAGTATCTTTCATCTTGGAGAGGAAATTTTCAAAGCTATTCTGTGAATTTTTATGCTCTCTCTCATAGCTGCAGTGACTACGGAAGGACACGGAAAAGTGATATCTTTCTCATCTAATTCTTAAAACTATTAAAATGAAGAGAATCCTTGAAAATGAGCATGAACTGGAAAACATAGCCTATGAAGATATCAAGATATTACAATAGATTTTCCTTGCCGTGATAGAATAACCTAGTATAGGGCTTGGACAACCTTTCTGCAAAGGGCCAGATAGAAGATCTCTGTTGCAGTTCTTCAACTCTGCCACTGTGGAGCAAAAGTAGCCATAACAATTAGTTAACACACCATAAGCAAATGGGCATGATTGTGATCTGAAAACACTTTTTTGACCTATGAGCTATAGTCTGCTACCTTTGACCTCATCTTTCCTAACTTACAACATTCTTCTCATTCCTTTTCATCAACTGTGCCATCTCTCAATAATGGAACGATTTTCAATATTCCTTTTCAAATAAAACATTGTATTTTAAGTTTTGTAGAAAAGTTACATAGTTATCTACATTAGGGTTATATTGTATTTTAAATTAAAAATGTATGGTGGGCATTTGGTAGTGCCCGAAATCCACTTATATGCCTCTAATTCACTTCCTCTTCCATTTTTCAAAGTAAGTGATGGCCTTAGTCAACTTTTTGTTCCTATAATAAATTTGTAAAGCAGGTTAACAACAAAGGAAAAGGGGTTATTTTGGTTCATGGTTCTGGAGGTGCAAAGTCTAGGGGTCTTCTCTCGTAATGGCCTTCTTGCTGGCAGAGTTCCAAGGTTGGGTGGGGCATCACCTGGTTAGATGTAGGGAGGGCACTTGTCTGTGTTTCTCTATCAGCCTGCAGTCTCTCTGTCCTTATACAGCCACAAGGATCAAACCTTGGAGACTCATCCTAGTGCCTAGCTTACTCTTAATTACTTCGCTAAGGTATCTGAACACCATAGTTAGATTCAAGTCTCTACCTTCTTAGTAACCTTGATTTATGACTTTGGCTCTGACCTTCTGCATGGACTTGGAGACCAAATTCTATTCAAGCTGTCACAGTGACCTATAGTCTCCTCACTTTCCTCAAGTCACTTAAACTATTGCTCCTTCGCCAACAGGAATAGTCTGCATTCACACAAATCAGATAAAACCACCAGTTGAGACATCTTTATACTTCTTTCCAACATTCCTTCAACATTAGCTTTTTATAAACTACAACATTAGCAGTTGAAGGTAAGACCTTCAGTGGTAAGGTATTCCATTGAAATGCAGGTTAGCTTCAGATCTTGTTTTCCCATGAATCTTGGACCATTGTTTATTTCTTCCCTCTCACTTTGTCAGCTACTCTCTCTTAAATGGACATGCAAGCTTCTGTGATTTTAAACTCCTTTTCTCAAGCCTTATTAAAGTCTAGCTAATGTGGTAAGTTCTGTCTCTCCTTCACAAGCAGAATTCTTAAGATACATTATCCCAATTGATATCTCTACTTTCTTATCTCTTTTTTTCTACAACCAACTACTCTTTGGTTTCTGCCACTTCCCTGAAAAAAGTCACCAGTGTGCTCCACTTTCCAAATCCAGAAACTCTTTCTATTCCACCTATACCATGGCTGATATATATTACAAAGTCCTTCATTATGTACTGAACTGAACCGATAAAACGCTTTCTAACACTTGACCCTGTTGATCACTGACTATGTTTGCCTGCTTCTCCTTGCTTTGTCTAAATAATACTTTCACTTTATAGTTTATGATTTTCTTTTATTTTTATATTTGTTGGTGGTTCCTCTTCTGCTACTTAATGTTTAGGCCCTGACTATTCCCCTTATCTTTCCTACTATTGCTTTCTACACTGCAAACATGCTTAGTTGTCTGACCCTCTTTTTTCTTTTTCTTTTCTTTTTTTTTTTTTTTTTTTTTTTTTTTGGCCGGCAGAGTTAGGCAGTGAGAGAGAGAGAGACAGAGAGAAAGGTCTTCCTTTCCGTTGGTTCACCCCCCAAATGGCCGCCACGGCTGGCACACTGCACCCATCTGAAGCCAAGATCCAGGTGCTTCCTCCTGGTCTCTCATGTGGGTGCAGGGCCCAAGCACTTGGGGCCATCCTCTACTGCCCTCCCAGGCCACAGCAGAGAGCTGGACTGGAGGAGGAGCAACCGGGACAGAATCCCAGAATCTGGCGCCCCAACCGGGACTAGAACCCGGGGTGCCCGCGCCGCAGGCGGAGGATTAGCCTACTGAGCCGCAGCACCGGCCCTGACCCTCTTATACCCCAAGCTTATTCCTATCATTGGAGCTCCCCATTCCTGTGTGTTGAATGATCCTGCCCCAGATCTTCACATGGATGCTCATCGGCCCCTCAGAAACTTCTTTCTTGCAGATTCTATAGAGATCATGTAAACAAGCATTTCTACTTTACAGTGGTTTTCGTGGAGATATTGATATTGTTGTTTCCCTGTTCAAAATCTCTGTGAGTTAAGATATTTCCATACTTAAAAGCTAACCCCATTTTATGCTAATAACCTCTCTAATGAGGTCCAAATCAAATATCCCACTATAGCTGCACACTGTACAGGTTCCTGTGTATATCCAAAGATACATCCAATTTTAATATGTCTTCAGTATTTGACATTAACCGACACTAATCTCAACTGAGCTTTAAATGTGTTCTTTTTTTTATTTTCTCTCTCACTTCATTCTGATATATCTATCATATTTTCATTTACTCATTTCATATATCCATTGCAGTATAGTTTTTCTTCCCTTAGGTCTCACCCCATGGTGTAACTCACCTTAAAGCTATGAGATAGAAAAAAGAACTTTAAGTAAGATACCAACCAAATAATATTAATTTAAAAAATTAATTAAAAATAAAGACTTCTGGTGATTTCTTTGGTGCTACAAACACAAATCCCTTAACAAACATTAATTCCACACCATCATAATTGCCCTTCAAATAAATAGTGCTACTAATACATTGCCATATCATGTTTTATATCACAAACAATAATATTTGAGACCATTCAAAATTCCAGGCTACTGTTTCCCTACTATTAGAAATAGCCAGGGCCAGCGCTGTGGCACAGCAGGTTAAAGCCCTGGCCTGAAGCGCCGGCATCCTATATGGGCGCCAGTTCGAGACCCAGCTGCTCCACTTCCAATCTAGCTCTCTGCTTTGGCCTGGGAAAGCAGTGGAAGATGGCCCAAGTCCTTGGGCCCCTGCAACCACATGGGAGACCCGGAAGAAGCTCCTGTCTCCTGACTCCGGATCGGCGCAGCTCCGGCCGTTGCGGCCATCTGGGGAGTAAACCAGTGGATGGAGAATCCCCTCCCCTGCTTCTCCTTCTCTGTGTAACTCTAAATTTCAAATAAATAAATATTTAAAAACAAAAAAGGAAAAAAGAAATAGCCATGTGTCATTTAAATTATAAATAATAAATCTAGATTAGCACTTTATGTTATGAATTAATTAAAAATAAGTCTGGGCAGGGAATAGATGGATTTGGATCAAAAATCCCTATATAGAGCAAGTCTTGGAACCTTTAATTATTCCTGTAAGTTTTGACAATTTACCCAGATATGAAACTCCAGACATGGACATGCCACAGATCAGAAAGAAATAAAATCATGTAAGTATGTTTTTCCTAGATTGTTTTATTTAAATTTTGTTTTGTTATTTGGCTTCAAGACTCTTATTGAGGCAACTAAGAGAGTTTTGAGTTATATAATTTCAGAGAAAGTAGGGCAAATAGATTTTGAATTCATCATATATCAGCAAGCAATTTCTTGCATTGTGCCAGGAAAAAAAGAGAATTATTTGTGATACATTAGCTGAGGTGCAGAAAGTAGAGTATTATTACTGCTGCTGTTATTAATATTAAGAAAACTATTCAGTTAATCCAAATATATTTCAAGAAAGGGAAGCACATTATAAGAGAGAATGCATTTTTATCTAATTTGGAGTGAATATCCATTTATGTTGATTTTTAGCAAACTGCCGTGTGAAAGAGAAAACCCTAAAGCAAGAGTTATGTGTGCATTTATGAGGCATATGGTTTAAAGTTCATAAGGTTCTTAAGAATTCGACCTTCTTCCTATCACAGTATTACAGTATCTATAAAAGCAGCCCTTTCAGGAGGTCACTGACCACGCATAACACTGTAGTTTATTTTATTCACTACAACAACATTCATCAAAAGCCAACAAACTTCTTTTTCAGAAATGTTTGCAAGTATCTCAAGGTGGTCATTATACTACTAGCTGTATCTTGCTATTTTTCTCATAGTATGATTTCTTAAATTCTTGGTCTACATGTAGTTTTAATTCATTCCTTTAAAAAAAAAATGAGGTAGGCTAAGTAGAATACAATATTCCAGGTATATTTTTGGTGGGCAAAGAACACAACTGAGGTTAATTCTTTCTCCCTATAACATCCTTTATGATGGACATTTTTCTAACGCTACAATCACTTTTGACCCATATTAGGTTTGTTACCAAAAATCTCCATTTATTTCCACTTAATTCCATTGCCAATTGAAGTTTAACCTTTTTGAGGCTAAATCCTAGGCTTTAGAGAAATAATCTAATTGATGGGAACTGTATATAAATGGGATTTAGGAAGTCTAGCATAATTGTTTTCCATGTGTTTTAGATGTTTTTTTATGACAATAGGCCAATGTCTATTGTTTTAGATGTGTTTTTATGACAATAGGCCAATGTCTATCTTCAGAGTGAAAAGATCACTTGAATAGATCTCAAAATGGACCTTACACACATAAAGCTCGGTAAGAGGCCACTTCAAAAAGTTCATGGTAAGTGGAATTAGAGTGTAAGATTTTTGGGGGGCCAGTGCCATGGCTCAATAGGCTAATCCTCTGCCTGCGGCGCCGGCACACCGTGTTCTAGTCCCGGTCGGGGCACCGGATTCTGTCCCGGTTGCCCCTCTTCCAGACCAGCTCTCTGCTATGGCCCGGGAGTGCAATGGAGGATGGCCCAAGTGCTTGGGCCTTGCACCTGCAAGGGAGACCAGGAGAAGCTCCTGGCTCCTGGCTTTGGATCATCGTTATAAAAATTAATATTCTATTTTTGAGAAAAAAATTGTTGAATTGAAATGTTTATATTAATTAAAATAATTTATATCCAAAAAGAAGAAATGATATATAAAACGTTTACCTTTACATGAAGGTTCTGGACTCCATCCACTGCTAGTGCACACCGCATCTCCTCTTTCAGTATATTCAAAACCTGGGTTACATTTATATTGAAATCGTTCATTTTTCTTATAAATTTTCTTCTGAGAAAGACTATGCCCATTTGTAATTACTGGAGAATTGCAAGAAATTTCTGGAAAGAAGAAATTATTTTCCAAAATGTTTATTATGAATTAAAGGACTGTGACCTAGACAGACTTTCATGATGACATAAGTTTTGTTTCCATTAGGGAAATCAGTCAACAAAAAATAGTTGTGTTTTGACTTGTCTACTCAATAAATGACTTTCCTATTATTAACCTTCGGTTTAGAAAGAAGTTAAATTTTGTATTAAACTTCATTCTAATTTTAATTGATTTGAAGATAAATTATTTCTTGTGAAATAAATGGTGGCCAATAATATTCATTAAATGTATATAATGAAACTGAATATAGATATAGGTTTATTATGATAAGTATTTTCACTGAATAACCTGATAACACATTTTCATTTATTGATAATGGAATATTATCAATAGGACACTTTCTCAGAGAAACTCATTTAACTCATTGCCATTATATCTCTGAAAAGTAACTGATGTTATGTTATTATGTTTTCACCATTGATTCAGGTTTTATCTCCAAAAGAAAAACTGGCCATTATCTTCAACACCATTTCTCACATTTCCCTGGAATTGCAGTAAGGATAACTAATTCCCCAAACCTGTTCTCCCACCTTTCTAACCAATTTTCTTTATGTGTAACTTCATAACCTTTGATATGGTCATTTCATTACTCCACTTAAAATCCTTCACTGAGTCCCAAATCATCCGGAATAAAAGCCAAGTTCTCCAGCCTGCTGTACATGTGGCTCCTCAGCACTTTGGCTGGCCTGTCCTCAATGTATCACTAATTCCCTACTTACACTGCACACTGGGGCCCCTGAGAAAAGCCGACAAGATCAGTGGAGCCTTGTGCTCACTGGAGCTTCGCTTCATGAACTTCCTCTGGTTGGGATGCTCTGGCCCTCTTCATCTTCCTCTTAAAAAACTCATTCTTCCTTTTAGACTTACCCAAGGCTGCAGCTATTCTAGCAAGATTTCACTAGCCACAGAAATCTAGTTTTAAGCACATAAATATCTACAAACTTTTCAAGAATATGGTATTTGCTTTGTTAACCACTAACAGAAAGAAGTAATTTTGTTAGAAAAAATTCTTAGGAAGAAAAATGCTTTTCTCTGTATCTCACCATCAGGTAGACTGGCTCTAGAAAGTCCAAATAATCTGGAGATTTTATACAATGTTAACAGTGAATTAGAACAGAAATTTCTGTCAAACATGTATTGGTGAAATGAAGTTTGGTGCTATTAAACAAATTGTCAATGACATTCAATACCAAAGCCAAGATCAATCGATTATAATTGATAGGCCAGCAATATGATGACTAAATAAATCTTGACTTATTGTTTAGTACAGACTTTTTTAAAAGTCAAAGATTTATTTGGTTAAATTCAGCAATATTTATATGAAATTTGCCATGCAAATATAAAGCAAGGCCACTTCTTAGAAGTGTTCATTAAAAAATAGGGGGCCGGTGCCGTGGATTACTTGGTTAATCCTCTGCCTGTGTCACTGGCATTCCATCTGGGCACTGGATTCTAGTCCCGGTTGCTCCTCTTCCAGCCCAGCTCTCTGCAGTGGCCCAGGAGGGCAGTGGAGAATGGCCCAAGGGCTTGGGCCCCTGCACCTGCCTGGGAGACCAGGAGGAAGCACCTGGCTCCTGGCTTCAGATTGGCGCAGCGCCGGCTTTGGTGGCCATTTGGGGAGTGAACCAACAGAAGGAAGATCTTTCTCTCTGTCTCTCTCTCTCTCTCTCTCTCTCATTGTCTATAACTCTACCTGTCAAAAATAAATAAATAAATAGAATGTCGGGGCTGGCACTGTGGTGCAGTGGGTTGAAGCCCTGGCCTGAAGTACTGGCATCCCACATGGGCACTGGTTATAGTCCCAGCTACTCCTCTTCCAATCCAGCTCTCTGCTCTGGCCTGGGATAGCAGCAGAAGATGGCTCATGTCCTTGGGCCCCTGCACCCACGTCGGAGACCTAGAAGAAGCTCCTGGCCCCTAGCTTCAGCTGGACGCAGCTCCAGCCATTGTGGCCATCTGGAGTGAACCAGCAGATGGAAGACCTCTCTCTGTCTCTCCCTCTCTCTGTAACTCTGTCTTTCATATAAATAAAATAAAATAAATCTTTAAAAATAGAATGTCATCATAATGCATCAGTGGAAATAAATAATGAATGCTTGGCTTTAAAAACTAAAAACAAAACAAAAAAGCCACAAAGGTATGTTCTGGAAGTCAGTACTACAACTTGCAGGAGGGGCTTAGCATTCTGTTTCCACCTGTCAGAGCCAGCTATGATGTAATCATAGTTCAAGCATGAACGTCAGTGTCTGAGAACCTAGGTTTGAATCTTAACTCTATCTCATGGTAATCTAGGGCACATGATTAAACTTCTTGTATCCTAGTTTCTTCAATTATAAAATAGAAATGATCAGAGTACATAAATTAGGGAGTTGTTTTGAAGGTAAAAGGAGATGACACTCACAAAGAGTTTAAATCAGTTATAGAGAAAGAGTAAGTGCTTGACAACCATTTGCTGTTATTAGTATTTTTATATTCTCTAGATTGGATAATGTTTTGAAATATATATTTTCAAAAAAAAAACTAAAAATATTCAAAAAATTAAAAATAGTAAATATATCTTACCTACACATTGTGGTTTTATTCCACTCCAAATACCATTTTCTGAGCAATGTATTTGCTTATCTCCATCGAGTTTGAAGCCTGAATTACATTCAAACTGTATTACTTGTCCAAAGAAATATTCCTGGTCTGGTTCCAATTCACTGATAATTTTCCCATTCTCTGGTTCTTTCACTGGCAAGCACTTGACAACTGAAAAGATAAATGTAAGTTTCTAATAAATACTTTATAAATAAATATATATTACATATAAATATAAATAATAATAAAATTTAAACACTTCATCTTGAAAAATGTGTATAAATAAAATCATCAGCAAGGGGCCGGCGCCGTGGCTCACTTGGCTAATCCTCCACCTGCGGCACCAGCATCCCATATGGGCACCAGGTTCTAGTCCCAGTTGCTCCTCTTCTAGTCCAGCTCTCTGCTGTGGCCCGAGAAGGCAATGGAGGATGGCCCAAGTGCTTGGGCCCTGAACCCGCATAGGAGACCAGGAGGAAGCACCTGGCTCCTGGCTTCAGATCAGCGCAGCGTGCTGGCCGTGTGGGCCGTAGCAGCCATTTTGGGGGTGAACCAACGGAAGGAAGACCTTTCTCTCTGTCTCTCTCTCTCACTAACTCTGCCTGTCAAAAAAAAAAAAGTATATATATATATATATATATATAGTGCAGCACCGGCCATAGCGGCCATTTTGGGGGTGAACCAATGGAAGGAAGACCTTTCTCTCTTTCTCTCTCTCTCTCACTGTCTATCTCTATCTGTCAAAATAAATAAATAAATAAATAATAAAATCATGAGCGTTCCTAAAAGAGTTAAAAGCAAATTTTATGGTAACATTTATTTTAACAGAGAAATTTGCCCTTAATTTTCCTTCCTTGTCCACAGCAGTGGTAGATTACTTTGAGTACTTCTTTTGATTTTACTAAGAATTTTCCATTTTCTCTAAAGTTGAAATTCAAACTTTATGTTATTGCAAATGATCCTGATGCTTGTTAAGATGTAAATTCTAGGAGTATCTTCCTGACAAATCACTCCAAAGATTCTGACTAAATAAGTCCATTTTAATAACCAAAAATCTCAGTTTTTAACAAGCATCCCAGGTGATTTCAGTGAAGATGTTCTCTAGAACATTTACCTCTTTCATCTCATTTCCATAGAAAAAATATTCCATTCACCATTTAGTTGTTTTGAGTGATCATCACATTTTTTCTTCCCTACTGCTTTCTCTTTCTCCACTTACTACTTACCATGTGACCAAGAAATACTATTCTGATTGATCTATTTCTAAAATGACTAGAAATTGGATTATTTATTCAACACTTGGAAACAGAATCTATATTTTCTCATGCACATTGTTTGTTTTACAGATCAATAAAAAAATTAGAGCTCTCTTTTTTTCCCTGTCTTTTCAGTAAAACTAAGACCACCGGAAAGCTTCCCTTTGTAGGGAGCGGGGAGAGATCTCAACCATCTTCTCAATTTCGGATGCTTGCATTGGGTCCTAAATTTGGGCAGCTGAAATTCTGATCTTCATTTGCCCACTGATATTTGTATGACTTTCTCATGGTTAGGATCCCAGGGTAAAGAACAATGAATTTTAGATTTCATAATGTCTAATACTTTGACAATTCAATCAGATCTGGCTTTATTTCTGTTTGTTTATGGAAACACGAAATAATGTGGCAATTAAGAGGGTGAGATACCTACTCTGTACTCTACCAGAAACCATAAAAATAATTTGAAAAGAAATTACAGACTTTCATTTTAATGTTTGATATTTTGAAAACCTCAATTGTTTTAGACATTTCAATATACCTTATAAATCAATGTCATACCTACCTTCACATAAAGGAATATCATTGGTCCATCCATCTACCGCACATTCCCGGTAGTCAATGTCACCTAACATTCTATACCTAAGAATCCAAAAAGTAAACAAACAAACCACAGCAATCAGCTAATGTGTGCTTAAGTAAACCATTTTTTTTTTAAATTTATCTAGTTATTTGAAAGGCAGAGCTACAGAGGAAGAAGAGAGACAGAGAGATCCTACATCTGCTGATTCACTCCCCCAAATGGCTACAACAGCTAGGACTGGCCCAGGCTGAAGTCAGAAGCCAGGAGCTTCCTCCAGGTCTCCCGTGTGGGGGTGCAAGGACTCACGCACTTGGGCCATCCTCTGCTGCTCTCCTAGGCACATTATTAGCAGGAAGCTGGATTGGAAGTGGAGCAGCTGGATCTCAAACTGGCGCCCATATGGGATGCAGGCATTGCAGACAGAGGCTTAACCCACAGCTTTAACCCACTGAGCCACAGCACCAGTGCCTTAAATGCAGTTTAAAGCTTAATGCCATTTTGAATGTCCAGAAACTCCATTTCAAGGAAAATTAACAGTATATGCATTTTCATTTTTTCCTATTTTCTTCCTTTATTTTCCCTTTGTTCATTTATTGCATCCCTCTCTGTTTCCTTCCTTCCTCCCCTTTTCTGTCTTAGATTTCCAAAATTTCTTCTTTCTCTTTCTTAAATTTCCTTCTTTTGAAAGGCTTGCAAGGCCTCTGGTCTATGGATTTGAAATCATCATAATATTTAGTTCATGACAAACTCATTATTGTCTTATGCACAGTACTCTTATTTTTTTCATTGAGTCAATGTGATTAAATACCTTCAATAATATAATAGCCTCCATAAACAATAACCAAAACCAAAACTAAAAGAATAATGGTAAGAAATAGCTAAAAATGTGTTTTCCCATATTTCTTCCCTCCATAATTCTATTTTGTTGACATTTTAGTCTTTATATAATAAAAATAAAGTACTAGCCAATCATTCTTAGTGTGTGGTTTATTTTCAATACTTGTCTCCATCTTTTTCCTACAGTTCCTTTCCCGACTGTGTTCACTGAATCAAATCTGGCTATCCCACCCAACTAATATTGAACATATCTAATTGCTGTAGCCTGTCAAGACAGCTCTTCAAATCTAAAATGCTCTATTTGAATACAAGATCCTTGGGGCTGGCACAAAATGTGCCATCATTGTCAGATGCTCCAGAACAAGGTAAAACATTGTCTCAATATTATAATGGACACTAAGGGACAAAACATTTTCTCAAAAAATAAATAACAGGGAAACATTTTGATAATGATAGATATTTTTGAAAACAGTATTTTTCATTAAATTCTAAACAATTCTACATGAACATTTGTTTCCTTCATCTGCAGGTGAGAGCTACTTAACTCATTGACAGATGAAACGAACATTTTCTCTCAAAAAATTGCCTTGTCTTTTTTATTGTCATTGATCTGTTCCTAATTCCATAAGGGAAGAAAGGTTATTACAGGACTTAAAGTCAAGCTTTTATCCTTTGTCTCTGTTATGAGGAAACACAATTATTGATAATTATGTCAATCTTCGAGCTCTTCAAGGCAGAATGTGCCATCTTTCAAGAGAGAAAGATTTCCTTGTGTACCCCCCAGAACACTTTCAGATACTCTGCAGAATTTACCCAAGGCCCATAGACATATAGGCATGGAGGGAAGAGACAGACATAGTTCACATGTTGGTGGCTGGGAAAATGTAACAGCTCACATTTCTGCAACCCGCACAGGCATAACAGCTGAAAATCTTTTTACAGACTGTGTTCTCAAAACTGCCTTCTCTCAGGTGGTAAAACTAGATTGTCATTCTGAATATCCTGCTAAAGAGCTGACATTCAACTAAACAGATATCCAGAAAAGGAACAGTGGATGAGGGCAAGGGATCCAAAGGGATAAACTGGCTGGCTGAAATCATGGGTATAGTAATCCTGTCTCACCACCAGCTTCCACAGATAAGTCAAACATCCCAACAAAATTCCCCTCAGATAGCTTAAACACTACCACAGTAAAATTTAAAATAGTATAAAGTTTTCAATTTGCTGATGCTAGATGGCCCAATGACTATTTCATTGACAGACATGTAATTCTTTTGGAGGCTCAAGTTCAATGTTAGAAAAAGTAACTCTTACAGAGCAGCAATAACAGAACTCACAAGATGACGGTGATGAAGAACATTTAAACAGAGCCGAAAGTTAGAGGCAAGTGCAAGCTATTTTTTTTATCAAGCTATAAATATTATGAATGATGAGATGGAGAGAATCAAGTGGAAGAAATATGAGTTTTCACTTTCTTTGTCAGGTCAAGACAAAAGGGGGAAAATTAGCCTCAAATAAAAAATATTTCATAAGTGAAGAGTGAAGAGCTAATTGATTAGTTCAGACTCACGTGGTTTCAACCTATTTGGTTATGTGTGTAAAGTTAGCAGAAAGGACTGATGGTTGGGCTAAAAATGCATTTGAAAAAACTCCCTCAGTTGTGACCAAAGAAAGACTAAAGTCATAAGAACCAATGATCATTAGGTATCTGCAATATCCAACAATTTCTTCTAAAGGATTCAAGTAGTATAAAAATGTACATAGAAAAATACAATAACATTAGAAGTATACATTAATACAGGTCATTTTACTATTTCGATTATAAATCTTTTATTATACTGACTACATACCCCTCGTTACATGTATAAACAACCTTTGCTCCAAATTCAAACTCATTTCCTACTGCAAGATGAAAAGATCCAAAGGGAGTATCTCCAGGATGTCCACAGGGCTTTTCTAAAATGAAAAAAAAAGTATATGATATTAATATGTAAAATAGGAAACACATTTTGTATAGGAGTTGAGGTACAAGTATATTGATAGTATAGTAAAGGACAGCACGGGCTATAAGGAAAATTGAAAATGACAAAACTATTATTTTATAATTAGATATAACTATATATGCCTTTTTTGATTTTAGAGCAATACTACCTTTTTTCAAAAATAATGATGTATTATTCTGTATTTAGGTGATAATGATGATATAATTCAGAAGGTGTTACTACAATGTCACATACAAGTATTTTCTTAATTAAAAGTTTTGTAAATGTCATAAATGTTTGAAGTACTTACTCCGACACACTCTTGCGGGGTTAACAGCCACCCATTCTCCATTCCTGCATGTCATCACAATAGTTCCAAGAGTTCTGTATCCAGGTCGGCATTTATAAACAGCCTGAGTACCCTCTGGGTATGTTTGTTCATTCCAGGAACCTGACAGAATTTCTATATTTTTTTTTGGAGGAGGTTCTTTACAATCTGCAAACAATAAAGACAAAATAACTGCTGACAGTAGCCATTAAAATAGGCAGTCCAGTTTTAAAAAAATCTATATGAGTTTACATCTAAATGTTCATGAAAATGGAATTAAAAGATGTTTATTTTGATGCAAAAATTTTTGAAATACATGAATAGCTTATCCATAATTTATATTTTCCATGGACTTTTTTGAAGACCTCACATATAGTTATAGATCCAACCAAATATGTTTTAATATACATAAAATGTGCATTTCATCTATAAAAATAGAATCTGCATAATTTAAATAATGTATGCTCTGTAAAAATAACCTAAATGATTTTCCACATCAATGGATATACTTTAATATTATTAAGAATAATACGCGGCCGGTGCCGTGGCTCACTAGGCTAATCCTCCACCTGCGGCGCCAGCACCCCGGGTTCTAGTCTAAGTTGGGGCACCAGATTCTGTCCCAGTTGCTCCTCTTCCAGTCCAACTCATTGCTGTGGCCCGGGAAGGCAGTGGAGGATGGTCCAAGTGCTTGGGTCCTACACCCGCATGGAAGACCAGGAGGAAGCACCTGGCTCCTGGCTTTGGATGGGTGCCACACGCTGGCCACAGTGCGCCAGCCATAGCGGCCATTTGGGGGGTGAACCAACGGAAAAGGAACACCTTTCTCTCTGTCTCTCTCTCTCTCACTGTCTAACTCTGCCTGTTAAAAAAAGAAAAAGAAAAAAAGAATAATATGTTAAGAATAATATTATTAACAATAATATTATTCTTAATAATATTATTCTTAACATTGCACCAATTCTACTGTTTTTCTTTGGTTGGGAAAATATTTATTGGGTCATGTTCTAAGTTCTGCAGACAAAATAATGAATAAAACAAAGTATTTGTTCTTAAAGTGCTTACTCTCTAGAAAGGGAAGTTAGTCATTAAATAAGTAATCAAAGAGATGAATAATTTGCATTATAGGTAGATAAAATTATTTATAAAATATCCCCTGATAATACAAAATTATTTAGTGACCTTCAAATAGGATAGAATAACATGGATCACAATAGGTTTATAGTATAAATTCTAAAGGAATGGCAAATTTGGGCCAACATGTGGCCTAACAGGTTAAGCAATGCTGACAGTCTATGTTGGAGCAGCAGTTCTAGCCCTGGCTGCTAGCTTCCAATCCAGTTCCCTGCTACTTTGCCTAAGGAATCAGTGGAAGATGATTCAAGTACTGGACACCTGCCACTCATGCAGGAGACTCAGATGGAACTACAAGCTCCTAGCTTTGGCCTGGACAAGTGCCAGCCATTGCTAGCACTTGAGAAGTAAACCAGAGGATGGGAGGTTTCTGTGTCTGTCTCCCTCTCTCACTCTCTCTGCTTTTCAAATAAATAAATAAACCCTTTTTGTAAAAAAAAAAAAAAAAAAAAAAGAACAAACAATTGTTGGAATGTATGTGCGTTTAAAGCAACTTATATGAGCAAAAACGATTAAACAACTAAACCTAAGTGGGATGGGCCTGCTTTAACCAAACATATAGCAATTTCTACAGCAATTTCATGCCTGGCTAGGTTTGCTAACTCTGGATATAGATTGAAGGTCAGGCTTTGCCCAAATGGGAAAGAAGAAAATACAAGAAAAACTTACGGAGGTGATTAGCTTGACAGAATCTAAAAATTTGTGCAGAATCATGGTGCACTGCTAAAGCCTAGAATTGTCCCAAAGTCTCATAGGAAAAGTTTCAGTAAGAAAAGGGGTTAAAGAAAGGTCTTTCCATAATGATGAAAAGTTAGCTAATCAGAAAAAAATTAAAATGTTATATAACATCTTGTAATAGAGTCACAAATATATATGGAAAGAGACAAATCCAAAATCATATCTGGTATACTTCTCTTGATAATTGATGGGAGAGAAGCAAGAAAAAAATCCATAAGGATATTAAAAATGGGAAAAATATATAATTTACAAAGAATATTATTCCTAAAATATTTCAGAAACACATCAAAGATTTATGAAAATAGGTCACATTGGGTTATACTGTAAGTCAATAAATTTTAAAATATTGAAATTAAATAAAATATATTCTCTGACCCTGAATGTTACAAAAAAAAATAAAATGACAACAAAAAATAGTGGGTTTGCCAACTAGTAAATCACTTCCAATGAGTCAATGAACAAATCACAATGAGAGAAAATATTTTGAAGTGAACAATATAAAAAATTCTAAATATAAAGTTTGTAAATCATGTAAATGTTATAGCTAAGATAAAATTTAAGAGGTGGTAAAATGCTCAAAAAGCTAAAGAATTGTAATTATGGAAAAAGACTAATGAACAGATAATAATGAAAAGAAATAAAATGAAACATGATACATATAAAATATAAATGAATTTAAAAACAAATATTTTCATAAGAAATAAAATTGACAAAATTCTGGAAACACTGATCAAATTTTTTAAAAAAGAGAAAGCTCAAATAATTACATTCAGGAATAAAAATGGAACATCCCTAGAAATCTTATTTTAGAATACTATACAGGCCGGCGCCGCGGCTCACTAGGCTAATCCTCCGCCTTGCGGCGCTGGCACACCCGGTTCTAGTCCCGGTCGGGGCGCCGGATTCTGTCCCGGTTGCCCCTCTTCCAGGCCAGCTCTCTGCTGTGGCCAGGGAGTGCAGTGGAGGATGGCCCAGGTGCTTGGGCCCTGCACCCCATGGGAGACCAGGAAAAGCACCTGGCTCCTGGCTCCTGCCATCGGATCAGCGCGGTGCGCCGGCCGCGGCGGCCATTGGAGGGTGAACCAACGGCAAAGGAAGACCTTTCTGTCTCTCTCTCTCACTGTCCACTCTGCCTGTCAAAAAAAAAAAAAAAAAAAGAATACTATACATAGCTGTTTGTCAATGCATTTAAAAAATATTGATGAAATAGACAAATTCCTTGAAAAAAAAAAACACCTTCATCAAAACTGACACAGAAGGTTTTTTAAACATCTACAGTCTCATAACCAAAATTTATAAGAAAATAACAGTTTGGAGGAAAACACTGGCTGCACCAGCTCATTCTACAAAGTCACCAATGACAACTAACTTTGCTATTAAAACTTTTCAAGACTAGTAAACACACACACACACACAAAAGGAGGAAAATAGAGAAAAGGTTGAGCAAGTCTTTCATGAAAGAGAAAACTCATGTGATCAATAAACTTAAAAAAAATTACTCAGGGCCAGCACTGTGGCACAATAGGCTAGGCCTCCTCCTGCAGCGCTGGCATCCTATATGGGTGCCGGTTCAAGTCCCAGCTGTTCCTCTTTCAATCCAGCTCTCTGCTATGGTCTGGGAAAGAAGTGGAAGACGGGTCCCTGCACCCGCTTGGGAGACCCTGAAGAAGCTCCTGGCTCCTGGCTTCAGATCTGCCCAGCTCCGATCATTGTGGCCATTTGGGAAGTAAGCTAGTAGGTGGAAGAGCTTTCTGTCTCTCTGTGTCTGTAACTCTACCTCTCAAATAAATAAATAAAATCTTTTCAAAAATTACTTAAATTGGCCGGCGCCGTGGCTCACTTGGCTAATCTTCCACCTGCAGCACCGGCACCCCAGGTTCTAGTCCCAGTTGCTCTTCTTCCAGTCCAGCTCTCTGCTGTGGCCCGGGAAGTCAGTGGAGGATGGCCCAAGTGCTTGGGCCCTGCACCCGCATGGGAGACCAGGAGAAGCATCTGGCTCCTGGCTTCTGATCGGCACAGAGCACCGGCCATAGCGGCCATTTGGGGGGTGAACCAATGGAAAGGAAGACCTTTCTCTCTGTCTCTCTCTCTCACTGTCTAATTCTGCCTTTCAAAAACAAAATTACTTAAACTAAAAAAATGAAAATTAAAACCATAATAAGTCACATTTTGGGGGGAAAAATGACAATAGCAAAAATGTTTAAAAGTCTAAAAATCTCAACCTTTGAAAAGAATGTGAAACATGGAGAATTCCTGATGGGAAGGAAGCCCTCACATCAGAATAGAAATTGAACATGTACACTGTTTTTTAGCTGGAGTAGCAATAATGAAAATACCATAGGCTGGGTGGCTCAAACAACTCAAATGTTATTTATTATATTTCTGGAGCCTAGGAAGGAGCCTGGTTGGACCCTGGTGAAGGCCATCTAAATGTTTGCGGATGACTGTCATTTTCTTGTATCATCACATGACCTACAGAGAGAGAAAAATAGGAGACAGAGTTCTAATCTGTTCCTCTTCTTAATCTCATCATGGCTCCCTTCACTCATGACTTTATCAAAGCCTAATTACATCCCGGAGGCCTCACCTCCTAATACTGTCCTATTTGTGGGTTAACGTTTTGACATATGAATTTGGGGGTGGGAGGTATAAATAAGAAATCTATAATGATTGTTGCTCAGCAGTTGTATTCCTATGAATATGATTAAAAACCTATTCATACGTGAGTCAGCTTTCATGTGTGGCAATGATTACAGCACTACAATTCTTAGTCAAAAATGGAAACAAACCCAATGTCCACTAATGGTTGAAGGGATAAGAATTGATGTTATATGTATTCAATGGAATAATAAAATCTATGCCACAAACTGAGGTGCCCAGAAAGTAACAGTAAGTACAAAGGTGTGTCAATTATAGAATCATTGCCCCTATATAAAATTCAAGAACAGATTTATCCTACTAAGGATGTTAAGGATGTGTATGTAGGTTATGGAACTATTAATGAATAAAAAATGTAATTACCATAAAAATCAAGTTAAATTTTTTCCCCAGAAAAAATTTAAGTGTATTGATCTGGAAGAAATTCATGAGTTTTCTGTGGATGCTGGGCATATTCTTCTTGAGTGTATGATTCTAAGTAGTTGTAGTATAGTATATTCATATTTTATTCAGTTGTGTGTACTATATTTCATGATTAAAAATATTAAAATAATAAATCATTTATATACAGCAACTTATTTTTAGTTTTTCAATAAATTATAATTTTTTACCCAAAAAAGTATATATAATGATTCTCA